TGCCGCCATAAAGAATCACATTCATCTTTGCTCACGTGGATAAATGCCAAAGTGCCTTCCTTGTGCTTTATAGCCTGGTAAAAGTTGCACGTATATTCGCAAAAATTTATGTCATTTAGTAAATGTACCATAAATTATCCGATTAATTGAACGAATATTTAAATGATTATTTTAAAATTTCGAGGATTAATATAAATTTTCGTCTTTTTTTCCCGTTCATTCATCGTTATCTGCTATTTCTATGTTTAAAATAAGAAACTATTTCGCGTGCAACGTAAAATTTAGTCTTTCCTATTATATTTCCTGTTACTGATTAAAAGTTTATAAAAATATGCTTTATGGTTGAGAGACAAGAATTTAGCGGTTAAACTGACCAATTTGATCGTTCAAGTGTAAATAATTTATACCTTACTACACATAGATTAAACATAGAAGCCTTTGAGAGCCTCGTGCAGCGGGTTCGCATTAGTCAACGAGCATTAATCAATAGACAAGACGGTAATCAGGAACGTCCGGCAAGTAGGTCGATCGGAGGTTCGCCAGAAACCTTTCGATCTTCGTTCGCCGCAGATGGAGATTCCTCGTCGTGCGATGAATGCACGCCTACGTGTATGTGTGCGCGCCGCTATCCAGTTGCAGCGGACTGTGTGCAGCAACAGGGTTACCCACGGCTGATGCTTTCGTCTTTCGAGATAGAGAGACGTTCCTGTAAAGACTGGAAAGCCGCGATCCCCGGTGCAGACCGGCCGAGATGCCTGGGGGTTGATTGATTAGAGGGTACGGCATAGGAGAGAAACCGGGAGAGTTCCGGGACGCGGGTTAGTTCGGGGGCAAGGGGGGCTCCTGGGTTATTTGGAGTCGAGGGGGGGGGGCGAAGGGGGGTAGGTTGGCGCAGAACGACGGCGGCAGCGACGACGGCGGGTGAGTATGGGGAACGGTGTTGGATTCGAGGTAGAAGCAAGGTAAAGGGCGGTGGCGAGGGACGGTCGGGCGAAGAAGGGTGGCGGCCCGTCCGGTGTTAGAGAAGGAAGGCTGGAGGCGGTAGTTCGAGGTGCTACAGTTTATAATAGTTGCCGCCGCCCTCGGGCCAACCGACCCTGCCCGCAACTTCCACAGAGTTGCTTAAATCTAACCTCCTCTCACGGGTACGCGGGACGATCAAGTGTGGTCCGCGGCTCGGTCGAAAGAATGTAGGTTACTCGGTCTCGGACGGCCGCCAGCGGCGCGTCATTTTTGCGTCGTCGCAGCATCCGCTCGCTCTTGTCGCGATCGTGAGAAAGACACCCCGGAAAGTAATCACGGTGGGGAAGAGAGAGCACGAGCGGCAGTTTCGGGTCGCCAATAGTATATCCGCCGAGCGACAGCGCGCGTGTGCCGTAGATTAGTTTGTAGTTCGTCGTTAAAGAAAAAGCCGAGTTATTAGTTGTGGCTCAGAAGGGTCGGGCAGGAAGATGAGGAGGTCAGGCGGCTCGTGCTCGCGCGCGCAATTTAGCGAGAGCTTATCAGATTCGTCGTACTTCCTACGCAATTTATTTACTTACTTAGGCGACACGTGCTCGCGCTATCTTCCTTTATATTTATAAGAACAATGATTAATGACTGATTATTCTATTTGCAATTTAAATACAGATTATATTTCGAATTGTATCCTTGTAAGTTAATTATATGCTTTTTGTGATATTCAAATTTATACATACGTGAGAAGATATCTTAGATATCGTTTCTTTTCCTCTTCGATCTTTCAAATTTCAAGAAGACACTTTAACCAATATGCAATTTCTCTCAACTGACATAGAGTAACGTCACGATTGTATAGAGTATATAGACTCTCCTTTGCGGCTTATGAATTAACTTCGAAAGAAAGAACTTACTTTAACATATACGTGTGCACGCATATCTATACAACACACGATTTCTCGGTCCCGTGACAGCGGCCTCCGTTATAATTCTCCGTTATCTATGGAAATTCTAAACCATACTAAACAACAATATATATCCCAAAACTATGTAATTCCTCGTGCTTGCGCGTACACGGTATGCAATATGCTGCAGCGAGGGCTGCAAACTGGTTGCGGCACTAATTTGTTTTGCGCTGCCTTTTTGATAATTTATGATCTTTCGAATAATATTACGTATCAATTTATTTTGGATGCGATTAGATAATAATAAATGGATATTGAAGAAACAACATATGAAATAATGAAAAAAATCTCCATACAAATAATTGCTTGATAGAAAGGGAAAGAAAGGAGACATTAATTTTACATTTATATTTTTTCATATAACTATTAACTTTAAGAAAATGGCAAAGTTTAAAATTTGCAACCTTTTTTTATATTTATTAAATAGTGCATAAACTTCACTTTAAGCCAAAATTATTTTAAGAAGTATTTATTGAATCTTGTAAAACATATACTCGTACTACTAATATATTCATTATTATTTACTTTAAATTTGTCAAGTTTGGAACGAAAGTTTAATGGCATTTTCAAGGCGAGGATTGTGTCCGATGACGATGGAAGAAGGAGATGCAATGTAAGTACGTCGCGAGTCTCGATTAAGAATTCACGTCTTTCGAAGCTGTCCATGCCTTAGGACAGCACATGCCAGTCCGCTATTACTTCCTATAACACTATCTACGCCAGGAAACGCCATTGCTCGCTCGTTCCTACGTGGTTCAGGGACGACGAGGATGATGAGATCTGCAGGCTTGCATCCTGATGAGACTATTAGGATGGCTTGATAAGTCCATAATATTCTGGTCGATGCTGGGCAACGCCGTCGACTCCACCCGGTGTCCTCGCCAAACCGCTACCTCCTCCTCCTTTTCCTCCTCCTCTTTCTCTTCCTCCTCTTCCAACCACCTCTCACCCGGCATCCAACTCTATCCCCTTTCGTCGTCACCATCCCTTTTACGTGCATGTACGATGCCTAGCTTCGGTCATAGTGACGACAGGATAGGTGACGCTTCCAATTTCCATCGACTTTGTTAACCTCGTACTGTGGTCATTTCTCAGCAGGAGATAACTTCGATCGAACAAAGGACTTCCTGGAAAATCCGATATTTGTCTATGCAGTTAGTGAATTACGAAAGCTTATCTCAAGAATTCGTCTAATATTAGTGACTTTCTTCTAATCACAATGCTGTTATATTAAATAATCGAGTTTTTAATATCTATGTCAGAAATTTTTATATGCTGTTACACTTTTGATTACTTTTGATATTATTTTAAAAAAATATCGATTTTTTGCAGTAAAGTTTTATCATGATTCTTTAACGATTCTGAATAAATAAGGCATTTATTTACTATTGTAATTTATAATATAATTGTATTATAATATAATTGTAATTTATTTATTATTGTTTCGTAATATTTCAGCACGATTTACAGTGCATTTTTTTCCATTGTAATAAAAAAAAGTTAAATTTTAATGAGCGTTTCGCAATATCAGAAACATTTCAAAAGTGTTGTCGAGAAGCCAGTCTCATACAGGGAACCTTGTCTCTTGCAGACAAACGGTCGATGTTGTGCCCTCGAAGCGCCTGAAATTAACTTTGAGCATTACAGATGTCGAGGCGCGCCGCGGCGAGAAGCTAACACCTTGTTAGCCTGACAAATTCGGTCCATCTCTCCTTCCTATCGTCCCTCACAACACTTTCCGTCTCCACCTATGCTTTCTATTCCCGCGACAATATCCCAACGAACCTTTGCGAGAAATTGAGGAAACTCAGCTTTTAACCCTTTAAATGGATACGCAATTTGCAACTTGTGAGCATATTTCTTATCTGTAAAGCAACAGAAAAAAGTGTGTTTTTTGCTTTTTTGAATAGGTATTTGAAATTTCATTCTATTTGCTGAAATTTAAGGCATCTTTTGTAAAATTATTAATTCATTATTATTTTGTGAGTGTTTTCTTTGAATATGAAATGAGAAAAGTGTTCGATACATTTCAAATTTTGCAAAATTTATATAGTTCTCACAAGGCTTGGTATGTATGTTTTGCTTTCGTATGTATTCGTGATGGCGTTGTTCCTCGCACGTATTTTGCGAGCCGAATGATGATCGACTTCTTATGCCAAATGCCAGAGCTGCCCTCCATCTTCATCGGTCTCCCGAAATTGGCGCGAATGGAATCTCGAGCAGCTGAGGGAGTCGTACGTGCGGAGAGTGTCAAGCGTCGTAGAATGCGTCGTCGCTTAATCGTACCCTCTGTACTTGCAATCCTGGAGCTTTATCCTCATTCAGCCCTTTCTGGATCTCCGTGTCGTCGCGCAAGCTATGACGATTGGAAAGTGATATCGAGAATTTCGAGAACTTCACTCGATATTGGACGATTTGCAGGCTCTTCCTTTGTGCCGCAAAGTGGGATGGATGAAACGAATGGGTGATTTAGAGGGGACAGATATCGTGGTGACAGTTACGATACGACGTAGTCAATAGTTGCGGGGGATGGCGGAGACGCACCGATGTGTTTGCGACGAAACGGAAGGGTAATACTATTGCATGGCCGAAGAGTATCAATATCCGACGTGGGCTCGTTGGTGGCATTTAATTGCGTTAGTATTTCATTGCTAGAATTCATGCTGAAGAGACTTTTCAATTAGGGTCGCAGTCGGTGGAGCAGCCAGTGGAGAAAGCCCTTGCTGGAGTTAGACATGTGCGCGGTAAGGATGAAGACTGAAAGCTGGTCTTTATCGAATTCGCGCGAAATCGAAGGAGGAATTTACCAGCTTTTTCATATTATTAAATTTGAATATCCGCCACGATACTTGATATAAAAAGAACTACTGAACCAAAATTTCCGCAATTTAAAACAAATTATTAAACAATGTATAACTAGAGAGTACGTTAAAAATATTGACTGTTCATGTTATTCTAAAATAATGATATAATATAAAAAATCGAAAGAAAAGAATATTTATAAAATGTTATATGAAAAAAATTGTTTAAATTATTATATGTTTCATAGTAATTATTGTTAATTATTTTATGTTTCAGGTAATCCAGTGATTATAACGACAAGAACTTCTAATGTAAAGGTAAGATTATTTAAAAAATGTAAGCAATAATTTGTAAGGAGCAATAATTTGTAAGGAGCATAAAATATTTGATATTAGTCGATTATTCGGCGGTGAATTTCTATGATTACGTTTCTTTATTTTGCATTATGTCAGAAATAAGATTTTGTAATGTCGATTAGACATTTGAATTCTGCATATAGCTTAAGGTTTATAAAAACATTTTTAGGTCAAGCTTTGCATAATTATTACATAAAAATATTTAACTTATACATTGTGAATTATTTATCTCGATACGAATAGCGCAATTATATTAAGGTTCCTCGTTCCTCTGATACATTCCATTTCCTAAAGCAAAATGAAAAATAAAGATGTACTCTGTTTTTGACCGCAATCTATATATTCCGCTTGCATTTATTCTATCCGTCTGACTCGACACTTTGTCGCATCGGAAGAGATTCAAGGGTGAGTACGAAACATCAGCCGACGGGGTCGGCTGTTAGTATCCGAGTAAAATGATGTGAAAGCTTATGAAATGGCGGGCTAGTCCGGCAAGATACCGGGGTATAGTGTGTTTCCACCTCGCACCCAGAGATAATACGGCGGGGTAGTAACAGCCAGAGGTTTATCTTTGTAGGACCATAAAACTAACCCGTTCTACGCGCTTGATGACGAGCGCTACTTAGATATCAGTCTACAGCTTGTTTCAAAACTCGTTTCAAATTTTAGTCGAGCAATTTGTGATTATTTTGAAATTTAACGGATTACTCCGATTTTTAACGCATATTTTATTTTCAAAGAGAATTTTTAAAAATAAACACATCGAAATTTAATATAAATAATCATGGCGATTGACAAATGTTCAATATTTTAATTAACAAATATATAAAGAAAATAAAATATTAATATATATTTATTTATTATAATGATATATCTGGTAGTTATATATTTACTTATTAATATTTAAATATATGATATTTCGTAATAATGTAGTCAGTAAACGTTTGTGAATATGAATAAGGATCGCGGTAAAGTTTACTATATCGGTCATGTGGTCCAACAACGCCAAAGCATCGCACGCTCTGGCTTGACGATGAAGGGTACAATCACTGAAAACGCAAAGTCGTCGGAGAAGTTCGCGACAGGTTGATATTTCGGCGACGCGTGTACGCGGCGATCGTAAATTGTAAAATCTATCAAGACCAACGCGGCCGACATAACTCAGGGGGGTTGCTATCCCAGTGGTATGAAGCATGGCGGCCAGACTCGGCATAAATACCCGGTTGCAGAACACTGCAGGAGCAGAGAGCAAGCCCAGACCCGTTGTGGCGTGGCAACATCATCTATCTCGAATAATTTATTATCGCGCGACTACCGCGTCCTCTCGAAACCTGGACAAGAACGCAACTATAGGAACTACAAATGCCGGAAAACGAGTGCCGTGCATATGCGCCAATCCTCGACCTTCCACCAGTCGAGTTTCGAGCTAGCAAATCTTTATTATGTTCGATTAAGGACATACTTGTTTGCTCTTTATCAAGAAACGACTTTTCAAATGAACGTTCTTCCAATTGCAATTATCGAAATACATAATATAGTAATTTTAAAATAAAAAGTAATAATTTAAAAATCTTAATTGCATTAATATTAGATTAGAAGTAATAATTTAAAAATCTTAATTGCATTAATATTGACGTAAATACGTGCGATATAGACACGAAATGTCCTTAATTTAATACTAATAAAAATTTAATTTTAAAAGAGTAGCAACAAGTTTATAAATTTTACTGATTTTTTGAAAGAAATATTGTGACATTATATTATTATAGATTATGATATTAATAGGAAAATATCGCACTTGCTCTATAGAAGAACAGCAGTTGATTTACATTAATGAATTTCCATTATTAATGTCATATGTTTCAATCGTAACATCTAAACTTAGACTTAGATCTATCTAATGATCAAAGAGCAAGAGTTCGCATGCAGTAAATGGAACGTAGAATAAACAGACATGCATATCAAACGGAAATTAATAGCAAACATCGACTCAATTGATATGCAAGCATAAAGATCGATAATATTAGTGTGATATTCATTATATGGCTCTACTCCTTTTTAAAAATTTTATAAATAAATTTTTGAAATAAACAATCATAAAAAGTTTTGGGATTAAAGTGAAATGGCTTGTACAGCAGGAAATATAAAATATTAAAGTGTGAAGAAAATAATCTTTTGGACTAAGTAGTTACATACATTTTTAATCATTGCTCTGTCTGCTCAATGATGGAGTTTTACTACTATATCTAGCATATATCAATTTATTTCATTATAGAAAACACATTATAAACTTTTTAGAAATGCGAAACTATAAAAATGATATTAAAATATATAAATTTTCTAAACTTTTCTTAAAAATACATTTTGTTAATAAATAATTTGATAAGTAAGTGCTTAAAAGCATTTGAAATGATATAATAATATTCTATCAAATTGATTACGTTCCAAATTTATATTATTTTGAAGAAAACAATCTGTTGATTTAATTGATGAGAAACAAATCGGAAAAATGTCATTTGTATTTTTTATATTTTTTTAAGTGGAATTTGCTTTGTGGCGCCATCTTATAAGTGGTGCATGAACTCATACGCACCCTTCCTCGCCGAATGTACGCGAGGGTTGAGGGGTGAAGAATGATTTGTACAAAAAATGTTGGCAGATGGCGCCAGGTTCTTTCTTACGACGAAGAAGGGATCTTTTTTTGTTTTTTTGCACCCTTCATGCGCAGATCACGTTTGTAAAAAACGAGAGGGCGTCGCTATGCAATTCTTTTTGCGCGGGAATAAATACGATTGAGTTATTTTTTGAAGAAAGCGATTTTTTTTATGCTTACGGAATATTCGTGTAGAAAGAAAAAATCATTTATATTTAAATCATTAAACAATTATATATTATTTCCAATTCTTCAACGCATTACTATCAATCATTTTTCTCATTAAAAGTAGTTTCGTAAAATGGCGATGGCTAAGTGAATCGAACAAGTCAACAGCAAAATGGTGTATTCACAGCATCGCAACGTTTCCCCATCTTGGTATGCGGTTCAGATGTAGACACTACGGAGGGGATAAACAAGGGGCAGTACCAGGTTGGCGGGCAGATTTTCAAAAAACCGGAGAGGCTGCGCGCGCTTCGCCTTCATTGATCGGGGGGCTGTGTCCGGCTACCACCCTCTCCGCTGCACCACGTATGCAAACTACCCTCTTCGTTGGCCGGGCAGCCGAAGAGGGACTCGTTCGCTCTCGACTTTCAGGGCGGAGCCCAGGAATCTCACTGAGGGTTCCTAACTAAAAAAAAAAATTTTTTTTTTAATTTAAAAAAATGTGGAAAATTGCAAAAAATCTTACATATTATATTTCGTCTTTTTTGATAAAAAAAAAAATCAAAAAACTAGAGAAGATTCATGCAAAAAGATGAGTTTTTGATTGCTATGAATCATTACGTTTATAATAATTTTAATAATATATACATGAATCGCTTTAGAAACATATAGAGATGACGCAATATTAATCTTACAATATTAATCTTATCATCATAGAAAGCATTGCAAGATATAGAAATTCTTCTTGTTGAACTTTTTATATTGCGACTGGTGGAGGAGAATGATCGGGGTGTCACGGTTCTCCAAATATTCGCCGATTCCATCTAACTTATGAGAAAAAAGCGAGAAGTTTCCTAAGTTAAGTACGATGCATAGCAAATGGAATTACGGCCGGACCGCCGTGGTCGTTTCGGCGATTCTCAGTGGACCGAGAGCTTGGTTGGTTGAAAATCGGCGGGCGAGTTTCTCATTACAGTTTCGGGAGGATTTCGAAAAGGACCCCCATGTCCGGCCGGTATACCGCAGCATTTTTCAGTCTAGAGGACCAACCCCTACTAGTTTCTCTGGACTCACTCGAGGGAGAGTGACCGGCGAGAGATAGGTACATGCGGTAGGGAAGAAGAGAGGTGGAGAACGACTGAACGATAGAGAGTGAGTGAACGAAGAGAGAGAAAGAGCCAGAGAAGTAGAGGCAGAGAGGAAAGGAACGGGAGGGAGCGAGAGCGAGTTAACCTAACCTCAAAATTCCAGCATCAATTCTGGACCCCCTCTAGTGTCTCACCCACCCGGTGCAATTAGGAACTACCCCTTCTATCCTATTCTGGCTCTATCCTCACTTCCCTTCGACCTCCCACCCCTTGAGAGCGGCGGAACCACGTGATCCGGCAACTACACTCTTGTTTTTAGGGTGGAGGCTCGGGTGTCGGTGGTGGAGGGTAAGGGGTACGGGGTCGGAATTGGGGGTGGAGGGTAGAAGGACGTAGGAAGAGAGGAGGTAGGAGGACGGGGCGAGTTGCTGGGTAGGAACACCACGTCCGTGTTGCCATGGCTACCGTAGGGGGTGGTTTATACTTGAAGGGTTACCCCCGCGGTACAGTCTCCGCAAAATTGTGAAAACTGCTGGCGAAACGTGGCGTCACTACGCGGAAAAACTTCCGCTAACGGTCCTCGTACTTTTGCCGAAGCTTTTACCCAGAGGCTTTCCCTTTCGCGACCTTCAGTGTTTACACCGCTTAAACGTCTAAGACAATTAATGACCGGCTTTTCGGGGTTTTTCTCCCGTGATACTTAGTCGAGGCGCGTTTGTTCGTCTACGTTCGCATGCATAATCATAGCTTTTTGTAAATTGTTTAACATATTGCAACTTATGTAGCATCAAATTAATTAATTTAAAAAAAATTCACGCTTGATATGATGATAGTTTTGATATAACAAATTGTAAAATAAAAATATTTTTTTTACTTCACATATTATCTATTACTAAGATAAAGATAAGATAAAAATAAGGTAGATAAAAGTAAGGTAGATAAAAATAAAGTAGAGCGTATATTATTATTATTAATGTGCTGCCATACTAGACTTCTTTTGTATTAGGGAAAAAATCACGCTTATCAACCAATATTATCAACATAAATTTTACAAAATTTATATTTCTTTATGCATTTTCAAATTTTACATAAGTTAATTATAGTTGCAACGAAATATATATACACGCGTGTATGTGTATTCGGAAAACGCATATATTGCAACTTTATATTTATTAACTAAAAAATTTTCATTACTGAATTTCTTTCACTTTTGCGGGAACTGCCAGATATATTTCTCGATTTGTTTTCATTGAGACTATCCCG